GCAGACATCACGCAACATGTGTTGACATGTTTACGGTGTATTTTAAGAAAATCGATTCTGGGTTTTCAATAATATTTTTGTTATAAAATAGACGGTAATACATGTCAAACAAGTAATGTAGTTGCGTAATGTCTGCGGCCTTCATCCTATTCATAGCTATATAAATATATATTTTGGACTCAGATGGAGAGCCAAGGTTTAATTTATACAAAGAGAAAGACCAAGGAACTACAAGTTACGCTATAATGTCCACTAACACCACCAGTTACTAAACAATCAGCTCATGCGATAACATTGCACGACACTGACCGACGGTAGTGATGGTCTACAACTAACTGGCTAACAGCTCTAGCACATCTTGGATTCGCACTCCAACAGCCTTCCAACTTGGAAGGTTCTAAGTTATAGAAATAACATAAGGAGGGGAAGTTGAGCGCAATCAAGATAAGCACGAGCTGAAAATCTTAGCTGTGAAGGACGTTGGCGAATGTTCATGCATGTCGATGACGATACTGGCAAGACCATTGGACAATACGGTCAAACCACGATTCAGGAACGCAAAGCCACATTCCACACAACTTGTGTGGCTCAAAAGATGCGAAGATCAATAAAAGGGGAAGCTATGCGAACAAGAATCATGAAAAACCGAACGCCTCAGTAAAACAGCACTGTACTTCGACTATGACAATTAGATGGACAATAAGTAGCGGTCACAAGCAGCAGTTTCACACGACGATCGTTTCGCCGTATAGATAAAGACGGCTCATCAGGTGTGCAGGAATCGACTCAGATGGAAAGCCAAGGTTTAAGTTATATAAAGAGAAAGACCAAGGAATTACAACTTACCCTCTACTGTCCACTAACACCACCAGTTACTAAACAATCAGCTCATGCGATAACATTGCACGACACTGACCATCGGTACTGACGTTCCTGAATCGTGGTTTGACCTTATTGTCCAATGGTCTTGCCAGTATTGTCATCGCCATGAATAAAGGCTAAGGCAGAGACGTCCACGAAGGAACCTACCATCCTCTTGCTACCAGTGTGAGAGAAGTTTACTTGGTATTCAGGGATAAGGCAATGTCCACGAGCAAGAGAGACTAGGTAAGGGATAATGGTACTAGATTATAGTTGCGAACTCGCAGGGTAGGTTCTAGGTGTGCAAGAGAGGTGGTGTGAGTATAGAGTTGGGGTACAAGGTGTAGAGTAGAATTGGTAGACAGGAACAAGGTGAAACTCTTACAGAGATTTCATGACATTATGTCTCTCAACGTATGGCACGAGGTGTACTGTTTGGAAATAATCCGTCGATAGCACCTCGGCTGGATAAGAATGGACGTGCTAATTATAATCAAGGAAAATGGCTAGAAATAGTTTCAAGGAAGTACTCTGCTACTTGGGGTATGATGAGAAATATGGTCACCAGACACGGAGACGAACGGTAACTCTTTTCTTTGCTTTCAATCGCGATACCACATAATCGTTTCGCCCATACATGTGTTCATCCCAGCATCCAAAGAATGAGTAACCTTGTTGAGGCAAGTCCAGAAAGTTGGCGAAGCAGCAGCCGTTTCCAGGGAAATAGACTGAAAATGTGGGCTTTGCCTTGTTAGCCCTGGCACACAACATATGGCTGTGAGTGTGTGTTACGTGGCTGTCAGTGCACGATGTACGGACATACTGTTATAGTGAAATATCGGAAGACGTATGTTCTTTAAGCCCTTTAACTGTCGGGATTTGAAGGAGCGGTCCTTTGCAGTTGGTTTGTTGATGTGTCAAAATGCAGTTAAACCCTAGAACTACGGGAGGCATCAAATGATGCATTTGCGAATGTCAAAATGTGATTGCTGTGATATGGGCGGTTACAATACCCCAAATTTGGTGACTTTTATTATTATGATTCTTTATTTCCACGATGGCCCATGGCCAATAAGGATATTTTTTGTATTGTGTTAGGGTAGTGGGCTGTATCTCCAAAATTTAGGTACCGTTCTGAAATGCCAGGGGGTGCTACCTAGAACTACCGCGCAGCATCATATGACTCCACATACTACAGGCATCAATAAGAGGGCAAATTTGGCTCAGAAACACACGTGAATATTATGGAATACGTTAAGTAGCATGTACATGTAGATGGGGGACCATGAAGGTGGTAATTTGTACATATGGAAATGCTAGTATGCATATTTCACGTGTAGTTCTGGTCAATATCGTTATCCTAAATCCTGTCGAAACAGACAAATTTGTTCGCCCAAAGTGGTGGAAAGAGATCCGCTATATCATCTGCAGCATTGAACAATATGAAGTGCCAGCGCAGGTATAATATTCTTGGAACTTCCTTTGAGTTTAGGTCGGTCTGGCGGAAGTAATTTTTGGCAGGCGTAGTGTGGCTGCCGAAAGCATTTCATTTGATTTTGAAAAACATTCGGGGCAGGAGTTTGGGGATGAATGCGAGAAGAGTGACTGGATCACGCCTTTCGACAGGCAGTTGCGGTCGTTCGTTAACCTTCTCTAGGTAGTATGAGATCGGCCCGATCGGGCAGTGTGAGATCCCTCCGAGCGGGCAGTATGGTTTTGTAAGTGGCAGGCAGGTTGTTAGCCTCGGTGGCTGTTCTTTTGCTCGATAGGCAGCATGATTTAGCCCTAGGTGGGCAGTATAATTATGATCGGCCCATATTGGGTAGTATGCCTTAGCCCTCGCTGGGTACTACGCTTAAGGTAATCCCTTGGCGGGAAGATTGCTTCAGCTTCGGCGTCGACGGCCGTTGTGTGCCCTCGGTGGAGCTGTATGCTTTACCCTTCCGTAGGCAGGTTACTTGCCTCGGCGGCCGGTCGTGCGCCCTCGGTTGGGCTGTATGCTTATTCATTCGCCCTCAGTAGGGCTTGTTTACGCGCCCTCGGTTGGGTGGTATATGTATTCGTGTGCCCTCGTTTGGGCAATATGCTTTAACTCCCGATGGGTTAATTGTCGCCCTCGTCGTCAGTTCATGCGCCCTCAACGGACAGTTTGTGGGCCGCGTCGGCCATTTGTGCGCCCTCGGTGGGCAGTATTCTTATGGCTCACGGCGGGCAGGATTAGTTAGCCCTCAGTGGGCTGGCTGCGGGCCTGGGCGGCAGCTCGTGTCATCGGCCCAGAGTGGGCAGCAGCATGTTAGCCCTTGGTGGGCCGTTCGTGCGTCTGCCCCTGGTGTGCAGTGTGAATCACTCATGATTGAATGTGATGATATGACTAAACTTTTGTTGTTCGCTTTCTCGGAACCCGAATTCCATTACATACTATCATAATTGTGGACCTGTACTAACCATAATTATTTTTTCCCTCAAACCAATGAATTATTAATATTATTTAACATCCAGAACAGAACAACAAAGACAATCAAGGGTTATTTTCTGCGACTTGAAGTTTCATGCTCTCGCAATCATCAAACATCTTTAATCGAAATGAGTCATGGCCACTCCCAACCATCGGTGTCAATCACTTGTGAGGGTGCGTATGGGTACGGCATTGTATGCACAGACGGGGCGTGGGAGGGTTTGAAATTATGTTTGTGCACATGAATGTTTATGTGTGTACGCGCGCACGCATGTGTGTATACGGAGTTGCGCCCAAAAGGCCAGAGTGTGTGCCCTTTGGCATGGGCTAATATAGACTGCAGGATTAGCAACGTAAGAAAATGCATTGTTTGTTTCCTGTAAACCGACGAGAGTGTGCCCTTTCACTGCAGGTGACGTCTGCTGTCGGTCTCCAAAATGGAGCACCTCAAATTGATCCTCCTTTAGGTACTTCGAAGTACCAGTACCCAACGAATGCTATTTCTATACATTTCGCCAGAACAATACAAAACATGTTTATCCAGTGGGTCTCTCTCTTGAGGCGTTTCAACCTCACTGCACTTTATGTCATGACTGCGCAGTCATGAACTTACTATTTCCCACTTTTCCCACGTACGTCGTGCATTATTGTACACATTTCGCGTATGCATGCTTTGACCCCTAATATCTCTTACACTTAGTTACAGCCATATCTGTTGTAAGTTCAAACGGGAGTTCAAACTCTCGCTCCTTTTGGACGCCTTACGTCATAATCGTTTACCGTGTTTTTAGAGCGGAGAACAGTTTTTCTTCTTGGTCTAGTTTTCTGGTTTTTTGGTATGGAAGTTGTGTCCGGTTAGACCTTCTTCTCGTTACAGTGTTTTCGATAATAGCACTTGATATGATGAGTTTTTGATGTTCTCACGACGGAGACGAGGGACTGTGATCACAGCCACCGTTGAACTGCCCTGGAGTGCAGTAGTAATAGTATTTTAGACCCCCTTATTTTCCCTGGTTTATGTCCGTTCGTGACATGGTGCTGTGAACAGGATAGGATATGATGTCAAGTGAAGACTCTAATCTTACTAGTGAAGCCACTGAAGGTTGTGCTACAGCCACAACATGTCAGGAAGATGACTCCCAGAAGAAAGGCCTGCAGGCCATCAAGGACGCGCAGAAGCGTCGACGCCGGTGCATGCGAAGATACGAGCGCATCAGGGCATGTACTGCGTACATTTTGGAAAAAAACAACAGAAAGCTATGTGGAAGTATGGACCGATCCAAAGAGGCTTCAGCCCCAGATTGACGATGCTGTACAGTTGAAACGAGAAATACTACTCACCCAGGATGAGATTTTCAATGTTCTGGACGACTTAAAAAGATGTAGTGTACACGACGAAGAAGAGGAGTGGGAGCGTGAATTTAATGTGTCTTGGCGCATTTTTGAAGATGCCCATATAGCTGTCGACCAAGTCGTATTTGAAGAGGAGAAAGTGAAGCGTCAGTCCTAATCCGCCATTCTGGCTGCTCAGCAACAGCACCAGAAAGCCTCAGTGACTTCAGTGGATGCCACCACCAATAGTGCCAGTGCCACTGAGGACATACCAGTAGTTGACGAGGAGGCGCATCAACAAACAGCAGTGCACCTGGAAGAAGATTCTAGAGACCAGAACGAGTCTTCAGCTATGATCAGTGTAGATGGCATCCGACGAGCATCGTCAAGTGTCAGTATCCACAGTACACCAGCAACACTGTCCACCATTGAGGTGGCGGCACAGGCAGCAGTAGCAGCCATGCAAGCTGCACGCTCCAGTCCAGTGGTGAAACTTCCTCAGCTGAAACTGTCTCAGTTCAATGGAGACATCATGGACTGGCCAGAATTCTGGCAGACATTTGAGTCCTCTGTTGGTCTTCGTCAATCGTTGCCGGACGTATCAAAATTCACATACCTCAAAAGCGTCCTGACGGGTGTCGCCGCAGCAGCCATCGAAGGCATTCCAATAACAGCAGCTAACTATCCTATCGCAGTTACGATGCTGAAGGACAGATTTGGACAGCCTGAGCTGATAGTGGCAACACTCTATCGTAAACTGGCACAGCTGCCACAATGTAACAACAGGTTTACTGAAGTGAAGGCTAACATTGACCAAATGGAGAAACTCCTTCGTCAATTGGAAGCTCAGGGAGAGAACCTGGATACTCAGCGCGTCCTCATTCAGCAACTCTTCTCGAAGTTCCCGTTCCAGCTCGTCAGCAAACTGGAGGAGCAGAGATCCGACCATACGGTGCCATGGACGGTCAAAACAGTACGGGAGATGCTAGCGAAGTATGTAGCAATGCAGAACACAGTTCGTCAGTTCACCGACAACATCAGCCAGACACCTCAGCCTAAGATAGATGGACACCAGCAACAACACCATCGTCCACCAACAATGGGATTTGTATCCAGCCAGGCAAGCCTCAGAAGAGAACCGTCCTGCGTCTTCTGTCGGTCAAGCCATTTCAGTGATGAGTGTACCAACTACTCAACACTGGATTCCAGGAAGGATCAACTGTTGTCCCTACGTAGGTGCTTTGTGTGCCTCAAAGAAGGCCATATCGCAAGGAATTGTGCACACCGTAGTAGAAATTGCTACCACTGTAGCGGAACAGGCCACAGTCGTGCTATTTGTCCCAAGAAGGGTCAACAATATAATCCAGCAGTCGAAGTTCCGAAACACCAGCAAACAAATTCACTGGTCAATGGCAGTCCACAGACAGCAGCAATCGCAGCTTTGTCACCGGCAGAGATGCCAAGCCAAGAGCCGACGGCAATTCCAGATGAAACCACGGAACTAGCCACCACGAGCGTCTCAACACTGAAAGCAGTTATTCAGTCAGCCATGCTGCAAACCGCTAAGTGTAACGTGACTGACCATTGTGGGAAGAAGGTCACGGTCAACGCACTACTGGACAGTGGCAGGCAACGATCGTTCATCACTGCAGCTCTAGCTAAACGACTCCAGCTACCAGTCGAGAATGAAGAGAGGCTCTACCTGAACACCATGGCAGCAACTAAGTCCAAGAGCTTCAATTCGCAATCGTTCCAACTCGCTGTCAACCTCCGAGACGGTAACATGGCACAGATAATGATGTATTCATGTAATGAATTCAGTTTAGCGTAGGCGCACATCTCGCAACTACGTATCTGCTGCGCTACAGCGCCCTCTACGGTTCTGGCCGCGGCACTTGTTTAGCGCGCCTTGCCGCGACCGGCAAGACCGCCTGCTGTGCATCACATTAATTTATGCGTACGCCATCACAATAATTAATTTAGTTTTGATCGGGTCCGAGTCCGCAACGTGGCACATCTCCTTGCCATTCTCAGTTTTGAGTCTTCTCTGCTTTGGCTCATGCCCGACTTGCATCCTGCTGCCTTTGTCTTTTGCTGACCGAACTGTCATTGCCTAGTCATGTCGGGCACCAGGAAGAGAACCCGTCGCGCAGCACCTAGCCCTGTTCCCGACCCACCTGTTTCTTCGGCTGCGGACCCCGAGCTGCCGAGTAACGCTGCCTCACCACTCGACGGCGGACAATTCAAGCAATTTATATCTGACGAAGTCCAGAAAGCCGTCACCGCCGCCCTGGCAGAAACGGTCTCCCCACTGCTTGCCACCATCGGATCCTCGCAGCCTTCCCCCGCCATGGCCGTACCCACCGGAAATGCTGCGCCAACTGGTCCGGGTGCTGGCTCTCTATCTCATCCACTGAACGTGCCGTCTCACGTGAGAGAGAGGATTTTGCGAGGTGAGTGTGTTGATTTGAATACACTGTTACCGGAAGCTCTTGGGGCACCAAAGCGTGACACGATTCAGTTGAATTTCAGTGGGTCCAGGACTGTTGAGCTGCTGGATCCCAGCTCTGGCGGGCATGTCGAGAAAGTTCGTAGGCATGTTCACGACCTGGTTACATGGCTAGAAGCCTGGTCCAGATATATGTTCGTACTATGCTCGCACGCACCCAGCCGTTTCTCCGAACTGATGGCATATCAGGCCACCATTGTATCGGCCAACTCCTCATACTATCCGGAGGCCTGGCTCGAATATGACCGGGAGTTCCGTCTGGCAATCTCTCTTGACCCCAGTAAGCGTTGGGACGCCATTGACGGCAATCTCTGGCAACTGAAAATGACAGGCCGCTCACGCCCGCAGTGTAGCACATGCCGGATCACTCACCCTCCATCGGGTAGCCAGTGCCCTTTTCGTGCCTCCCGAGTACCAAACCAGCAGTTTGCACCACGGTCTGCCTACACCAAGTCTGGCAAAGAGATCTGCCGGAATTTCCAGCAAGGTCGATGCTCCAACACCGACTGTAAATTTGCCCACGTCTGCTCCCAATGTGAGGGCGCACATGCCCGCCCCTCCTGCCCGCGTCGCTTCTCCACTGGCAACCAGCGGCAGAACAAAGCTTAATGAACTGCATCTCGATAGTAGCATTCTCCGGACACACCCTACATTCTTTCACACTTGCCGCACACCTATTCACGTTAATCGCCTCCGTTCCTTACTGCGTGCACACCCCGATCAAGCTTTTGTTAAATATGTACTTCATGGCCTTACGTATGGTTTTGACATCGGCTTCAATGGCCCACGCCAAACCAGCATGTTCTCCCCTAACTTACCTTCTGCGAGGATGCATCCCGATTTTATTACCAAATACCTGCAAGAATGTTGCTCCCGCTTTGAACTGCTAGGTCCTTTTTCCTCCTCGCTTTTTCCTTTTTTTCATTGCTCCGGTGTTGGCTGCGTTCCGAAAAAGAACGGCCGCTTTCGTTTAATCCACCATCTCTCTAGCCCAGAGGGTCAAAGTGTAAACGATGGAATTTCACGTGAAGATTTCAGCTTGCATTACATCACTATTGATCACGCGATCGATGCCATTATGCAGTACGGTCGTTCTGCTTATCTTTTCAAACTTGACATTCGGAGTGCTTTCCGCATTGTACCTGTGCGGCAGGAAGACTGGCCTCTGCTAGGTATTCACTGGCAAAACCAATATTATTTCGACACTGTGCTCCCCTTTGGCTTACGCTCCAGCCCTGCCATTTTTAACTCTATTGCCGACTGCCTTGAATGGATTGCTCGCTATGAGTTTTCTATTACTGACCTGCTCCATTATCTAGATGATTTCCTTTGCATTTCTCCATCGGAGCTGGTGGCGAACCAACGTGCTTCAATCCTGCTTCGCTGTTTTAACTATGTCCAAGTCCCCTTGGCACCTGACAAAGTGGAAGGTCCAGCTCAAGTGCTGTCGTTCCTGGGCATCGAGCTGGACTGTGGCAGACTGGAGGCCCGGCTACCAGACACCAAGTTGCAAGATCTCCGCACCTTGCTCGACCAGTATGTCAACCGTGGCGACATGACCCAACGCGAACTCGACTCACTATTGGGAAAACTCTCCTTCGCAGCTCGGGTAATTATACCTGGTCGGACATTCATGCGCCGACTCTGGGATATTTGTCACCGCTACAGTCAGCCACACTATAAGATCAAACTCTCAGTCGAGGCCCTGGAAGACCTGAAGTGGTGGCAACGCCTCCTCTCGCAATGGAACGGAAAGTCCTTCTTTCATATGCCAAATTGGACCCCGTCTCCCGACATCCAATTGTTTACCGATGCCAGCGGTTCGATCGGCTGGGGCGCATGTTATGGCCATCGCTGGATCCAGGGACAGTGGTTGCCGGAACAAGCCGACTACTCCATCGAGTGGAAGGAGATGTTCGCCATTGCCGCAGCTTGCTCCTCCTGGGGCCTTGAATGGCGCAAGCTCCGCATACTCGTGTACTGCGATAACGAAGCCGTAGTGGCATGCCTGTCCAATGGTTGTAGCCGCTCCCCCCCAGTCATGGACCTGATACGACGGCTGTTCTTCATGTGCGCTAACTTTGGCTTCATTCTGTCAGCAAAGCATATTCCAGGATGCACTAACAAAGCCGCTGATGCTCTGTCTCGTTTTAACATGCAGGCGTTTCGCGAGGCGGTTCCGGGAGCTCGGGCGACAGCCGACCTGTTCCAGTCATTCTAACTGCCGCGGACGAATTAGCAGCACGATATGCTGCTCACGCTCTATCCGACAACACCAGACGAACGTATTCCGCCGGCGAATCTAAGTATCTCAAGTTCTGCCAACTTCAAAGATGGTCCCCGTTTCCCGCTTCAGACCTAATGCTGAGTAGTTTTGCTGCCTCCCTAACCCAGTCGGTCAGACCAGTGACTATTAAGGTTTACCTCAGTGCTATCAAGAACCTGCACCTGGAGCTCGGTTATGTCGACCCGACCGAGGGCGCGCACTTCCTCAAGCGAGTGGTACGCGGTATTTGCCGTTGCCATGGAGTAGCCGCTGTCCGCCCCCGGCTGCCAATCACGTTTCCTATTCTCTGCAGTCTGGTTGACACCTGCCTAGCTGCTCCAGCCATGTGCCCTCACGACAAGCGCTGCCTGCATGCCGCTATGCTTGCCGTGTTCTTTGGTTTCTTCAGATGCGGTGAACTGCTAGAAGCACCTACCACGCGCGGCTGTTTGACATTCGAGTCAGGGATGCTCCATGTGCACCTACCACGCTCGAAGACAGACCCGTCCGGGGAAGGTACGACGGTGCTGATCGGGCCAGCGGTGCCGCCATACTGCGCTGTGAGAGCCATGCTCACCTACCTCACTGCAACCGCCTCTGCTCGTCCAGGCAGTGCTGTGTTCATCCTGGCCAACGGGCAACGCCTCAACCGCAGCACTTTTACAGCCCACGTACGCACGCTGCTTAGCACCAGCGGCGTGGCAAACTGGCAGGACTATGCAGGCCACAGCTTCCGTATCGGGGCCGCTACCACTGCTGCCCTTGCTGGCGTCCCCGACCACCAGATCCGCTCCGCGGGACGGTGGCGCAGTGATGCATGCCTACGCTACATCCGGACACCACCGTCATCGGCCCGAACGCTGGCCAGCAAACTATCCTCAGTAAGATCATCTCCCTGACACCGATGTTTCTCAATTCACACAATTCCCTCATAATGAACTATGCTATGCTGCACTGCAATACTGTTGTGTATGGGTATGTACTGGCGGTATGGCGAGTCACTCATAACTGGTCTGCCTTTCTATTGCGGCATTATGGCCTTATGGTCCTGCCTTTCCATTGCGGCAATCACAGCCTCCGGGCTTCTGCCTTCCTGCGGCAATCACAGCCTCCGGGCTTCTGCCTTTCTGCGGCACTCGCAGCCTCACGGGCTCGTGCCTACCTTGCGGCAAAGACCAACCAGTTCCTCGTCACCAGTACTTACCCAACACAACCTAGCCTTATTCGTGTGGTGTATGCCTGTCTGCATGCCGTCTGTGTGCGCGGAATGCTAATGATGTATGCCTGCCTGCATGCCGTCTGCGTGCGCGGAATGCTAATGATGTATTCATGTAATGAATTCAGTTTAGCGTAGGCGCACATCTCGCAACTACGTATCTGCTGCGCTACAGCGCCCTCTACGGTTCTGGCCGCGGCACTTGTTTAGCGCGCCTTGCCGCGACCGGCAAGACCGCCTGCTGTGCATCACATTAATTTATGCGTACGCCATCACAATAATTAATTTAGTTTTGATCGGGTCCGAGTCCGCAACGTGGCACATCTCCTTGCCATTCTCAGTTTTGAGTCTTCTCTGCTTTGGCTCATGCCCGACTTGCATCCTGCTGCCTTTGTCTTTTGCTGACCCACCATCCCACCACTAACCATTAATACTACATTGCATCATTCCTACTTCAAGTACAATAAACCTGGTGGCGAGTCACTCATAACTGGTCTGCCTTTCTATTGCGGCATTATGGCCTTATGGTCCTGCCTTTCCATTGCGGCAATCACAGCCTCCGGGCTTCTGCCTTCCTGCGGCAATCACAGCCTCCGGGCTTCTGCCTTTCTGCGGCACTCGCAGCCTCACGGGCTCGTGCCTACCTTGCGGCAAAGACCAACCAGTTCCTCGTCACCAGTACTTACCCAACACAACCTAGCCTTATTCGTGTGGTGTATGCCTGTCTGCATGCCGTCTGTGTGCGCGGAATGCTAATGATGTATGCCTGCCTGCATGCCGTCTGCGTGCGCGGAATGCTAATGGTGAATACTCTGCCTACCATAACCAACCCAATTGTGAAACAAGCCGTGCAATAGACCGACTTGGCGTTTCTTGAACAGCTGTCTCCAACAGCGCTAGCAGATTCTGTGCCTCACGCAATGGAAACTGTCAACATCGACTTTCTAATTGGTGCTGACTACCTTTGGCAACTGGTGGGCAATAATGTTATCACACTGCCATCAGGACTCAAGCTAGTCTCCTCCGAATTTGGATACCTGCTCACCGGCTGCAGTTCACTACCGGATGAATGCAGCAATGATGACACGACCTCCCTGGTGGTTACCAGCAGCGGTTCGATTTTCTCAGGAGCTGCAAGCGTCTCCAACCGTAACACAGAGGACAGTGTACTGTCTCAATTCTGGCAACTGGAGAATATTGGAATCAAGGATTCACCCTACGCGAATGATGACGAAATCGCATTGGCGCAATTTCGCAAGACAACGGAATATTCCGATGGCAGGTATTCCATCCAATGGCCATGGAAGCCCGATGACACCAAAGATCAACTTCCTAGCAACTACGGCTTAGCCCTTGGCCGAATGAAATCACTGGCCAAACGACTCGCTACAGACAGACAGCTGCTCAAGAGTTATGACAAGGTGATCCGACAGCAGCTAGCTAAGGGAATCATTGAAGAAGTTCAACTTTCCGGAACCAGTGGTAAACAACACTATTTGACCCACCACCCCGTTGTGACACCAGCGAAGTCAACAAAGGTCAGGATAGTGTATGATGCATCAGCCAAAGCGAGTGCAACATCTCCAAGCCTGAACGACTGCCTCTACCGTGGCCCAGTGCTACTCACTGACCTCTGTGGCCTGCTAATGCGTTTCCGTCTCAAGCCAATTGTGATTAGCGCTGACGTAGAGAAAGCATTTCTTCAAATTTCTATTCAGCCAAGTGACAGGGACGTCACCCGATTCATCTGGTACAAGGACTGTACCACACCTGAGAAGGTTAACGGCAATGTCACAGCGTACCGTTTCTGTCGAGTGCCGTTCGGTGTAGTCTCGAGCCCATTTCTGCTCGCTGCTACCATTCAGCTGCACCTCACACAGGCCCAGACCGATGTGTCTGGTGCTATTGCACGTGATCAGTATGTGGACAACCTAATAACCACGGTCTACTCCCCAGAAGAAGGTATTCATCTCGACAAGGAAGCCAAGCAGCTGTTCTCAGATGCATCCATGAACCTACGGGACTGGACCTCCAACTCCGACAAAGTGTTGGACAAGATTCAGGAAATCGACCGATTGCCATCAGCATCTACCAAAGTCCTTGGGCTCAAGTGGGATAGCAAAGCAGATAACATCGCCGTGTCCAACAGCATCAATGATAAATCAGTCGGTCCAGTCACAAAGCGCAGCGTGCTGAACAAAGTGGCAAGCTTGTTTGACCCACTCGGATTGATGACACCATCTACACTGCAAGGGAAGCGGTACCTTCGTCGGCTATGGGAGGAAGGTCTGGAGTGGGATGCCCCATTGTCCGCACCAATGCTCCTGGAGTGGGACAACATCCAATCAGCACTCCGGCAGACGACGACCGTCACCATTCCAAGGTTCATTGGTCCTGCGAGTGCAAGTCAACCAATGAGTCTACATATCTTCACAGATGCATCCAAGGATGCATATGCAGCAGCAGCTTACCTCCAAGTGCAGATTCCGGATTCCAACAAGTACACGGTGAATCTCATCTTCTCCAGATCCCGACTGACCCCGTCAGCCAACAAACCGTCCAAGAAGCAATCAGTCACCATTCCTCGTATGGAACTGCTCGGCGTGGTCATCGGATTCAGGATGGTCAAGTTCATCCAATCCCAGCTTCAACTTCAGAACAACATCCCAACATACCTCTGGACTGATGCCAAGTGTGTTCTCCACTGGCTCACAACGCCCCATCATCTCTCAACATTTGTTGCCAATCGTGTGAAGGAAGTGAAATCCAATCAGCAGCTACAGTTTCGTCACGTTCAGTCCCAGGACAACCCTGCAGACATAGCAACACGCGGTCTTCAGCCAGAGGAGTTGCAGGAGTCTTCTCTGGTGGCAGGGTCCTGCATGGCTAGCAGGAGACAAAGAGGACTGGCCAACAGGAAAACTGATCGTCACGCAAGAAGACATTGCAGAAGCAGACAAAGAGAGACGCTCCCCTCTCATTACAATTGGGAACACAGCTGCCGTCATCCACGACAGCACAGAAACGTATTCGCTTCAGGCAGCAGAACAACGTGTTTCATCCCTCAGATCGCTCTTGAGGACTACAGCAATCTGCCTCCGTTTCATTGGCAAGAAGATCTGGAGCAAGGTCAGTAGCAGCACACGAGAGAAGCTACGGCCAAAGATTCCCCTCGCAGCAATGGTCTTTGATGATGCTTCACGCACCAAGTACGTAGCAGCCAGTGATCTCAGCATCGCAGAGAAGATCATCATCAGACAACACCAACGACAGAACTTCACGGATGCGTTCAAAGTTATAGACAGCGGTACTCGTCACCCCCTTCAAGACCAGCTCGGACTTCGCCTGGATGCTGAAGGACTGCTAAGATGCCATGGAAGGCTAGACAATGCTCAGCTACCTGAAGATGCGACTCGCCCTATGCTGATATCCCGACACAGTAAGCTAAGTACTCTGATCATCCGGGAAGTTCATGCGCGTCTCATTCATGCCGGAGTGTCTCACACACTTGCCCAGATTCGACAGAAGTACTGGCTTCCACAAGGGCGAGCTGCTGTGAAAGCCGTTCTGAGTAAATGTGTCATTTGTCAGAAACACGAAGGGCAACCGTTCCGTCTACCCCAGATGCCACAGCTACCAGCAGAACGAGTACAGCAGTCTCATCCATTTCAGTACATCGGCCTCGACTATCTCGGCCCATTCAGCGTCAACATCAGCAGTACAACACAGAAGGTATGGGTGTGCCTCTTCACCGGTATGGCAACCCGTGCGGTTCATTTGGAAGTAGTGATGGGATTAACAACGGCCCAGTTCGTCAACTGTTTGAAACGATTCATTGCCAGGCGAGGACGACCTGACAAGATCATCTCAGACAATGCGCCACAGTTCAAGTTGGCACAGACGTACCTCCATCAGAAGTGGAAAAAGATCCTAACCTGCCCTGAGCTGGCCTGCTACCTTGCAGAACACAAGGTAACCTGGGTTTTCACCACTGAGTTTGCACCGTGGCAAGGCGGTTTCTATGAGCGACTAGTTGGTCTGGTGAAGCGAGCTTTCCACAAAGACATTGGCCGCAATCGATTCACCTACGAGCAATTCAACACAATCACAACGGAAGTTGAGGAAATGCTCAACACACGCCCATTGACGTATGTACCGTCAGAGTCGACAGATGGAATCATCACGCCAAACGACTTCATTGCCCTAACTCGCTCACTGCGACTTCCTGACGATATCCAGTCAGATGACTACATGCCCCAACGAGATCCAGTCGCTACTATTACGTCGCTGCAGAAGAAGCAGCAAGCTGCACTGGACACGTTCTGGAAGTTGTGGAGAAATGACTATATCCTTGCACTTCGCAGCCGACAGCCAATCAACCATCGTCTCAGGAGGAGCCGAACCACTGATCCCAAGATTGGCGACATGGTCATGATCAAGAACGACCAGCTACCACGTGGAATGTGGAAGATGGGAAAAATCAGAGAACTGCATGACAGCGCGCAGGACGGCAAGACTCGTTCGGCGACAGTACAGACGACCAACTCCATCCTGAACCGACCGATCAACCACCTCTACCAGCTAGAAGTGACCGCAACGGAGGAGAAGGAAAACGCTGATGTCATCGACAACGGCAGCACTGATGTCATCGACAACGGCAGCACTGATGTTGCTAGCAGCAGGCCTCAGCGCATGGCCGACCAGAAGGCAAAGGAAAGGCTCAATGCACAAATGCAGGCTGAGCTGGTGTCTGTAGCTTTCACCTTTGTTTCTACGTATGTATGTATGTAGACAGTATCTATTCCATTGTCTTATTCAATGCCACAGTAAAATAGTTTGTTTCTTTTGTTCCTCGGGAGTGTCATGACTGCGCAGTCATGAACTTACTATTTCCCACTTTTCCCACGTACGTCGTGCATTATTGTACACATTTCGCGTATGCATGCTTTGACCCCTAATATCTCTTACACTTAGTTACAGCCATATCTGTTGTAAGTTCAAACGGGAGTTCAAACTCTCGCTCCTTTTGGACGCCTTACGTCATAATCGTTTACCGTGTTTTTAGAGCGGAGAACAGTTTTTCTTCTTGGTCTAGTTTTCTGGTTTTTTGGTATGGAAGTTGTGTCCGGTTAGACCTTCTTCTCGTTACAGTGTTTTCGATAATAGCACTTGATATGATGAGTTTTTGATGTTCTCACGACGGAGACGAGGGACTGTGATCACAGCCACCGTTGAACTGCCCTGGAGTGCAGTAGTAATAGTATTTTAGACCCCCTTATTTTCCCTGGTTTATGTCCGTTCGTGACACTTTAGCCTAAGTTGTAAATGCCTTATAAACAGATACATAATTTTGCACAACATACAATTAAGGGGAAGAGTTTGCTTGTGTAAACATAAAATTAAGAAGCGTCAAACCTGTTGATCTGTTACATTTTCTTCAGCAACGACGTATCTGAACACATAGTCCATGGTTTTACAGAACATTGCCAACCCGTATCTGGGTGTGTCCGTATGATATAACACTTACCACTTGAAAGGTGGAGAATATTCACGAGAATCAGTGCAACTGTAAGTGGATGTCTTACAGGAGTCCCTGAAAAACATCACACGAAGAGATAATTAGTCGTTAAAACTAACCTCCTGTCTGCTTTTCACTCTAACTAAGGCCTTCGACTACTTTCCCGTTCCTGTCAACATGCGCTCCATTTCGTAAGTGCGTCTCATTGTTTACAAATCTATTGAAGCATAACATCCTCGCGATGCGTTTATGGTCGTTTACTTGATGTTTAACTCAAAAGTAGCAACATACTCGGCCATATGGACCCATGCTTCACACTGTCACGTAACATTCTTTCCTTCCTTTGTCCTTTTGTGAGACCTTTCACAATCCACTTGTCCAGGCCAGAAGGCAGCAATCCCGTTTCATTCTGGCGAAGTAAAATTAAATATAACAACCAACCAACCAACCATATGGAAATACCCTGAACCGTGCACCTCTCCCCACTGCGTTCTTGAGACACATTCACAACACCGCACCATAGCGAAGAAGATCGTTCTTGGGTAGATGTTCCTTATCTTTCAGACAGCTGCTTCCCTATGAATCTTAAAGTGCTGCTTGAACATGCATACAGATGACGCAAGAATTTAAACAAGCGCGCGAAGCTGACACTCTATTACTTGAAGTAGACTTTCGCACTAACGTTGCAACACAACCTGCATAATGTTAGAGTGAAGTAATTGTCCCATACTGGCGTCACGATGATGCGAGAGAAACGGAAGGTCAGGCGACGCGACAGCTCATCCTGTCGGTAAACAGGACAAATATCAACAACTCAGAAGCAGCGCCAAACTCCGCCATTTGAAAATAAACGGAACCGTCCACCTCTTCACACTGCGCTCTTGGCACACTTTCACAACACCACTCCATAGCAAGGAAGTTCGTTCTTTGGTAGGTTTTCCATATCCTCCAGACAACTGTTTCGCTCATAAAGTACTCCTCAGTGGAGGTAGGTAACGAATGAATAGCAAATATAGGAATGAGTACATACAGAGGGTGTGCGCCTTAACCTGCAATAGTGCTCTATATAGTGCCCTATATACTTCCTTTTGTGTACCTCTTGCGGAATGAGTACATATATAGGGAAAAGTGGCGCAATTGCGCACTTTCTACATAGAAAGGTGGCATACCTAAAGACGTTGAAGGCGACAAAAGTTCCAAATGTGCTAATGAAACGCACAGTGCCACTGTAACATGCATAAAAATGTCGCTCGAATTTCAACAAGAGCACGAAGCAGACCATCTATTAGAAGTTCACACTAACGTTGCCAAACATCCATGCACCATGCTAGAACAAAGTAACGGTCCAATAGTGACGTGACAACGATGTGAGAGAAACAGAACACCGGACACTTGATGTGTGACATCTGAAAATAATAGAATGCGTATCGTGTTGATCTTTGGCAATGCATCTGTGCAATTAAACGTGCAATTTAAACGTTTACCGCCATATGTGTTTACTGCCATATTGCCTGGTGTGTCTTTACCACTATAATTATCAACCATAAGTACAGCTGCAGTGGTGTCTTAAACTTCATTCTCCCGAGTCTAGCTCTGTATGAAGACGTCCAAGAAGAAGATTGCCTGATGAGTCCAGCGGGGACGAAAGGTACGTCGCAATCGAGCTATGTCGTTGCTGTGTCATCTTCTATGTGCCAAGCGCTACTTGATGTACCAGCCTGCTATGTCTGATACCGCCAACCATGCATCGACTAGGCGCCATGCGCGAACTGATGGTGGTGGTGGTGAGAAGGAGAGCTCTGTGCCGGAACTTTGCAGCTTAGAGAGCGTGTATGGGCAGGTGTGTGTTTATAGCCATATTGCCAGGTGTGTCTTTACCACCATATTTTTTTCAATTTAAACGTTACTAAAAATTTTGAAGGACGCTTCACGCAGCTTCATTATACTTGAATTGTTTGCAGGCAACCTGCCTACACTCAAGAGAGCACTGCATTTCACACAAATCCATTGGTATCGTTATGATACCAATGGATTTGGATGGAATGCAGTGCTCTCTTGAGTGTAGGCAGGTTGCCTGCAAACAATTCAAGTTAAACTTTACTATAATTATTATAGCGATGAAAAGTATCAGTGAGGAGGTACATTACGACAAGAACAAAAAGAATACGGTGAAACAATAGTGCGTTTCAAAAGTAAAGACCTCTAGACTTTTCGAATAATTCCAATTTTTGCTGATCATTCCGGGAATTATCTTCAGAATATTACTCAGGCAACGTTTCGCATTATTTTCTAGGTGGATCGCAAACCCCCAATTTAGGAAATTTTGTACACACAGTGATGACAAATTTTATGGGGTATAAATGCTGGCCTCACGGGTTTTGAAACCGGAGATCTGGACTTGCGGCGCACGCTATAAATGCAAGTTATCCTAATCGATTTTCTTGAGACAATCATTTAGGGAACCTCGTTAATTGAGACTCAACAAGGTGCACACAACAAGGTGCACACAGGAGTCGGTCTCGTTGGCGACTGTTCTCCATGTGAACAGTAAACATGATGTGAGAATGTCTAAATGACTGCAGGGCGCCCTTTGTACAGTCAGGGTACTTCTCGCCAAGCAATTCATCCGCACATGTATTTTTGAACTATTGTCTTTGCCCTGAATCAATTGCACCTTCTCGGTATGCGAGGCAATATAAAATCTCGACAACAGCAACACCTATGATGAAATTATGTCTCCCATTTTTAAACATGTACATACTTTTAACACAAACAGAGGGCAAGCAATCGGTAAACTTTGATAACTATAAAACATACTTCTGTTCGGGCCTGGCTTAAATCTGGCGTTAGAAAATGTATTTTTCATTACTACCAGGGTCGGCCTTATTTTTTTTTTTTTTTTTTTTTTTTTTTTACTATGTTCACATACCCAACTCATAAATAATACAGAAGACAATGGTACTGAGACAAGGACAAACGTGACAACTACTGAGAAGGGGCTGCACCGAGGTGCAGCAGTGATGGTGGGGCATTGATGGCTCTGCCGACCTGAGGTCTCGGCATCACGGCCAGAAACACGCACCAAAAACAAAAGATAGAGCTGTAAGGGTCAGCAAAAATAAAAAGAAAGCAAGGGCAAGCAGCAGCTTGTACTACTGTGCAGCGCATTCGTAGCAATGGGAGTCGTTGACGGGGCACTAGAATGTAGGTGGGTCGACAGGCAGAATGTCCGTGGACTATCGCCAATCCTGTCGGAGGAGGTATTCGTTGACGTTGCACTTAAACTTTTGAAGATTTTTGCGAGTTGGGGCGGAGTCTAGAAAAGCTGGCGGCAGGGAATTCCACAGCTGGATTGCACGATGTGGGAAGCTGCGGAGAATGGTGTCTGGTGCTTGACGCGGTAGCGGATTTCGTAGCTGGCAACTGTGGCCGGCGGCCATGCGGAGATCGTTTCGAGTGCGAGTGGCGTCACGGGGCTCAAGCCTTGGTGGGAGGACTGCTAGCAATAGATGATATGCCAAATAAGCGCTCGAAAAGTTGAGAGGGCATGCGATTGATGCGCCCAGGCTTCGCTTGTCAAGTGCACGGGATGTGCAAAGTACACGGATTTTAGGCTTGTTGCGCGCTTACGCGATCAGGTGCTGCACGTGCATGAATGGAATGCATGCAGTTCCACTGTTATTGCATTTTAGCATTCTGTCGGAGAAAATGTTCGGATGAAGAAAAGGAACTCTGACACCTTTGTGCATATTTTGCTTTCAATTTTTCATTTTGATACCCAGATATGGCAGCAAGAAATAGTACACCAGCCATAGCTTCTCGTTTTGCGAACCCACCTGTCGGCGAAACGATTGCTAGATGGACTTTTGCTCAGCTGAAGACGTACAGTACGTGAGGGAGAGATACCGGTAGATGGAAAGCGAGATGATTTGTTGCAGAGGTAAGACCGACAGATATTATTTTATTCCCAACGCCCCAGAGCTTAGGACGGGGGACAATGATGGCAGTCGGCTCCGAGCAGCGAAAGGGCGATGAAAATCCGTTCCTCCTTCACTGGTCGCTACAGCAGCGAATACCTTGACACCATCTGCATCGGGAACAGAAGAAGCTGCTTTTCCGCTGATTCCATCAAATTATAGATGCTGCTCAACAAACAGACGCAGAATTTCCCACCGAGGCATGGAGCCATCGCTCGGAGGATTTGCTAAGTGGTGTTTCTGTTAGTGCTGTACTCCAGCATCTTCAGAATCGAGAAAGGTACCTAACGCCGGAC